CAGATGGTTCTCGAAATCTCCAGAACAGGTGCGAAACTTCCCGCTTGTCAGTGTCATATTTGACAGTAAATGGGGCCCAAATGGGGCTCCCATTTGCTGAAATACCATGAATTTTCGATCCCCCATTCCAAACGTGAGTACCCCAGGCCATTTCCGTTACAACATATATATAGAATATGTTAATAAACTGGCAAAATGTTATAAAACATATGTAGACAATAAAGAAGTAGAAAATAACTATTTATTTTAAATTAAATACATATCTCTATTATGCGGACACCTCCCATATCCATAACCGGACATTTTTTGTGGAACCGTGATTGTTCGCTTATCGGAGCTTTCACTGTACACATCAATTCGAGGTTATTATGACAACAAAGAACAATTTCTCGTTGACAATTTGACATTCCAAAAAAAAGGGATCCGACATTCAACGAATCCTACTGAATTAACCGTTTATCATTATCTATTTTATTGTTACTTTCTCTATTTTCCATGGCTACCGGAGTTTTTCACAACTACGAAGCAACAGGTAAAAAAGGTATAAAAATCCTTATACAGTTTTGAACAATATATTAATCCAAAGTTAAAAATGCTCTTGCATTATTCATTTCCCTTTAACAACTTAATACCAATGGTAACTTACTTGAAGTAATTAACATCCGTTTAAATAGTTTACTACACTAATAATTACGTTACGTACTTGCTCGTTTTGTTTTTTTTGGGCGAAAGTATTGCTTCTTCTCTGTGCGAGATAAATCCATGTGTTCAAGCAGCACATTCATCGGTTTGCAAACAAATGGCTTCCTTACATTATGTCCATCATCTGCATGGCGCCTTAGTTGCTTTGTAGAAAATATTTGCGATTTAATTGTATTTGATCTTTTTCTTCTCTCATAATTAATTGCATGTTTACAATCAATCTCGGATGCAAAGTTTTCTTTTTCTGGCCTAATTATTGCATTATCTGTACAAATTTGACAGGCGCTTTTCGAAACTGCTACGCTCACGCCTGACGAAAACGGAGTTCCTAGACAGTTATAAGACTTAGCACTATTATAGTCTTCACTGCACAAACCTTGAGGTTTATCGAGCAGCTCATGAGAAGTTGGTCGTAACCTGAGATTACTCAAGAATCGGTCTTGGGTCAAAGGCTTCTGCTTTACTAATATATCAACTAATGGAATCACTAACTGCAGGCCGTTCTTTTTCTTGTGTAAAGTCTTCCGATCCTGTGAACCAACATTTCTTCTCAGGTAATATCTTTGTCTAATTGATGTTGAAAATCCAGTATCCGCATGAGATGTCTTGTAAGACTTTGACAAAGCTTTATTTTTTATATCATGCGAGTTAATTGACGACTGTTTAAAATATTCACAACACTTGTGCACCAAAAATTTTAAAATCTTCATCATGCATTTTTCTTCAGCTTTCAGCAGCTGGAACATTTCCTGATCCGAAAGCCACCACTGGGGCTTTGCAATCTGATTGAGGCTTAAGGCATTACATAACCCCAATAGTCCTT